AGGCATTGAAAGAAATGAAAAACAACAAATCGCCTGGAAAAGATGGAATAACTGCAGAGATGCTGAAATATGGTGGAAAAGTGGTAATTAATACTCTACATTCCCTTTTTAACAAGATATTAAAAGAAAAAAGAATCCCAAACAACTGGAAGGAATCAGTAACCATTATCCTACACAAGAAAGGGGATAAAGCAGATATAAAAAACTACCGTCCTATAACACTCCTCAATGTAATGTATAAACTCCTAACAAAAATTTTAACCAATAGATTGACGACAAAATTCGATGGATACCAGTCGAAAGAACAAGCTGGTTTTAGAAAGGGATTCAGCACAAGTGACCATTTACTAAGTATGAAAATACTTATAGAACGAGCAAATGAATACCACATTCCTCTATATATGGCGTTCATAGATTTCGAAAAGGCTTTCGACAGTGTCGAACATTGGGCAGTGAAAAGTTCTTTGATTAACAGCCGAATTGACCACAGATATACGGAACTAATAACCAATATATATAAGGAAGCCAAAACAACAATTAAAGTATATGAAGGAACAAAATCATTACAAATAAGTAGAGGCGTGAGACAGGGTGATACAATATCACCGAAACTTTTCAATCAGGCTCTTGAAGATACTTTTAAAAGATTAGAATGGGAAAAAAAAGGTATAAAAATTTGTGGACAACGCTTGAACCATCTAAGGTACGCTGATGACATCGTATTGATAACCGATAAAAAAGAAGAATTATTTGAAATGATGAAAGAACTGGACGTAGAAGCTGGAAAGATAGGCCTTAATATGAATTACAGCAAGACCAAAACTATAACAAATACAGATGAAGACATCACAATGAGAATCGGACAAGATGAAATAGAACAAGTTAAGGATTATATATATATATATATATATATATATATATATATATATATATATATATATATATATATCTTGGTCAAACTATAAAACTTAACAAAGAGAACCAAACAGCAGAGATCAAGAGACGAGTTAGACTGGCATGGGCGGCATTTGGCAAACTAAGCTACATTCTTAAAAACAAAAGATATCCACAGCATCTTAAGACCAAAGTATATAATCAATGCGTACTCCCTGTTCTTACTTATGGTTCCCAAACGTGGACATTTACAAAAGCAAACATGGACAAAATCATAAAAACCCAAAGAGCAATGGAAAGACAAATGTTGCACATAAGACTAATGGATAAGAAGAGAAACGAGTGGATAAGAGAGAAAACAAAAGTGAGGGATGTTAGACAAGAAGTTGCAAAATTGAAATGGAGATTTGCCGGACACAATATAAGACAAAAAGAAGACCGATGGAACAAAATTCTTATAAGTTGGAGACCGTGGGAATATAAACGAAGCAGAGGAAGGCCCCAAATGAGATGGGCAGATGATATCAAGAAGCACGTGGGCTCTAGATGGATGACTGTAGCGACAGAGAAGAATGGAAAAGGATTGGGGAGGCCTATGTCCAAAGATGGACCGAAGAAGGCTAATTAGATAGAATTAAATAGAAGCTGTCAAAGGCAAACCCGAAAGTAACAAAAACCAAGTATAAGAGTAAAAAAACTTGTGCGATGAACTATGTCACTTGACTTTCTCGCCGTATTTACACATTATAGATGGACTTGGTTGAATAATAGCAGGATCACAATCACTCTGTGATAAACAGTTGCTTCTGACTTAGCTAAGCTCCATTTAACGTAAGTAAAATTTTATGAAAAATAGTATGTACATTCCACATATTTTCTAGTCGTACCAGTATTATTATAACAGAGACGTGAATTGATGAAACAAAGATTGTATATTCACATCAAAGATACATTTTAACTTTTTTTAAAAGCTTGAATTTATACCTACATAATTGATTCTGGTTGAGTAATTTATTAAGTTGGTCAATAAGAAACTAGTTTAACTAGAAACCTCAAAGAATTATATGTTTTCGTTTGAAATGTATCTTTGATGTAATATAACTACCGTTTCAATGAACTTTCAAAGTACGCACATCTATCCAATATTTTTTTAACGAAAAAACATAAATTAATATATATTTGCGTAACTAAAATTAAGATACGTTATTTTTATGATATATTTAGGCCACATTACCAGAGGTGCGAAATATAAAATAATAAGGCTCATAATGCAAGGTAAAATCAAGGGTAAAAGATCCATAGGAAGACGAAGAATTTCCTGGCTGAGAAACCTAAGAGAGTGGTATAGTTGCAGCTCAGTAGATCTTTTTAGAGCAGCCACCAATAAGGTACGGATAGCTGTGATGATAGCCAACCTCCGATAGGAGAAGGAACTACAAGAAGATTTTAAATTTTAGTGACGTAGGTAATTACTCAAAATGAGTCTGAGGTACTATTTTGTAAAATTAACTTAATTGGGATCATAGGGAATCGGGGCAAAATATAGAAACGTACCGAGTGATAAGATATTACTTGCCATGTAATCCCGATAGAAATAATTTTACAAAATGGCGCCAGTCATTATACAATCAAATACAAACAATGTACAGGTGGCTTATACAGTGTGTTAAGTTTTGGATTAGGTATACACTCTATAAATGGCAACACTGCGCGTCGTCGACTTGCACTACATATCTGCTTCGTTGACTCGTCGTTGCTCGTCGCCCGTCGGCAAATTTGTCATATTGTCATTATACCGTGGTTGTTTAAAGGTATAACAGCGTAGAGTTTTAATTTATTTTTGTAAACATGTCTGTTTATATGGCCGCGGAAAAAGCTCAAATAATAAAATGGTTTTATAGTGGCAATTCTGCGCAACAGTGTGTAGATTTATTTTCTGTGTTTTTTGAGGGAAGACCAATTCCTTGTGTACAGTCAATTTATAATATTGTTAAAAATTTTGAGAGTTGTTATTGCCTCAAAAATTGCAGAAAATGTCACGCTCAAGAAGTGTTACCAGAAAAAGTTGAGGAAAGAGAATACCGGGATACACAAATTTGTGCAACAATCGAGGTAGATTCAACACGTTCAAGTAGAAGCGTTGCTAGAGAGTTAGATGTTAGCAATGTTACTGTAACGAAAGTATGGAAAAAGCACGGTTACAAGAATTTTAAATATTCGAAAACGCAGCAGCTTTATCCAGACGATTACTTTCGAAGAATGGAGTTTTGTGAAACTCTAATAACGAAGGCTAATAGTGAACCAAATTTTATTAAAAACATTTTATTCACTGATGAATCTTCTGTTTCGTTAGTAGGGAGACACAATCCTTCCATTATGAGGTATTGGGCGCGGGAAAACCAGCACAGAAGTGTTGTTTACCGAACTCAACGTCCTCAAAAAGTTAACGTCTGGACTGGCATTTTAGGAGACCACATAATAGGTCCATTTTTTATTGAGGGCAACTTGAATAGTAGAGTATACCTCGATTTGTTACAGAATCATGTTCTTCCCGCTATTCTCAATCTTCCTGATGTAAATCTGGAGAATGTTTGGTTTCATCAAGACGGCTGTTCAGTTCACAACGCTCGAATTATTAGGGAGTATTTAAACAATACTTTCCCGAATCGAGTTATCAGTGGAACAGGCGATATTAAGTGGCCTGCGCGATCTCCAGATCTTACACCCATGGACTTCTTTTTTTGGGGACATTTAAAAAGCATTATCTACGCTCATCCTGAGGCTAGAGCCCAAAATTTGGATGAATTAAAAAATCGAATAAGAGAAGTCTCCAATTCTGTTACAGCAGAAACTCTTTCATCTGTTCGCAGAAGTTTTTATGACAGATTGGGGTACTGTTCAGCCGTAGAAGGTCAACTATTTGAACCATTTCTGTAGGTCATAAAGAATTATTTTTTATTTTATTAGGAATAATATTTTAATTTTCAATAAGAGTATATTTTTTATTTTATCTTTTTAAAGAAATACGCTTTTATTTTTAATTCAACCACAAAAAAATTTTCACATTAATAAAAATCGATAACAATGCACCGATTAGGTCAGTGCATTTTTATCGAATTTCCTACTATTAAAATCGGCTATACGTAATGAAACATGAGATCGGACGACAGAGAAGTACATCCCAAACGTTGTTGTGAGTTACTAAACTAAAATAAATGATTTTCTGTCGGTGTAGATACTGAGATAGTCTCGGGTCGGAGAACGAACATTTGCAACGTTGCCGATTTTAGCGCTCCGTATAGTGTGCAATACCTAATCAAAAACTTAACGCACTGTATTATAGTGGAAGCGGACTTAAGAACGAGCACTGTTTATATAAGAAAAGTTTAACTCTCTCTTATTGTGATGTTATGTTTTCTTATTAATTTCCTCATTTTTTTATCCAATAAATATGATCATATTATCACTTTAAAACTGCCATTCCTGGCTTCATCTAATCAAAGTTAAAGTTAAACTAATGTTACAAAATTAATAATCCGAACCTGTCACATCCAGAACTCCCTATATCCGGACAGTTGTTTGGCGTGAAATTTTAAGATTCGTATCTACTTGACATTGTGATCGTTGTTAGTTCGCTGTTTGTCCATCGTTTTTGTGGTAATATGGCCGAGAAAAGGAAGAAAAATGTTGTAACAATGGAAGAAAAGTTTAGTGAATTGAAGAGGCTAGATGCTGTTGAAACGACTAAGAAGATTGCTGTTGAAGTGGGTGTAGGAACTAGCACTGTGAGTGACTGGAAAAAATCTAGAAACAAAACTGAAAAATGGTGCTCAACGCAGGCTTCAACTACTGGGATAAAGAAACTGAAAATTATGAAAAACGCCCCTAACAACCATATCAATGAGTGTTTGTGAAACAAAACAATGAAAACGTGATTTAAAATGAAATAAAAAGAGAATTCGCGAATTCTAAAAAAATAATTTTAATAATACCACTTAACTGTTTAAACCTTTTCTTGTGATATATCTAATACAAAAATGAGCGTACTTTATTAAAAATAACTGACACCACATTTAAATAAATGACTAGTTAGTTTTAAACTTTACCACTTCCTGCACTGTTGAACTTATACTTAGATGCTGCTTCTCGGCGATTTCCAGTTGATTTCTCAAGTTTTCCAGTTCCTCCTCGTATTTTTCTTTGATTTGATTTAACTTTTCTTCATATCTGGCCTATAAGACAGTATATATTATCAATATACAATAAAGTTTTAAATTGTGGCGAAAAAGAAAGCAAATAAGGTATCAAAAGGTAAAGTGGTAGTAGTTAAAGGATATATACTTGACAAAATTCTTCAAGAGTAGAGTGCTGGAAGAGTTTGAGGAAAAAGATATGGTAAATGACTGTTGGTAAGCAAACAGCGAAGTTGTGGTATGAGTGGGAAAGTGTTAGGAAAAACATCTGGGAAAGGGCCTCCTAGAGACAAAGAAAAACTTGGTGGTGGAACGATAAAGTGCAACAGATGGTTAAGGAGAAGAAACGGGCTAGAAAGAGGTATGACAAGTCTAAAAGAGAGGAAGATAAAGATACATACTAATTAGCAAACAGTTTTTACATGAAACTACTAAAATACCTCAAGAAGTGCCAGTCAATAACCCTACATGCAAAGGAAGCAAGGGAGCAGTATGCAGTATCACATATCTCTAATTTAAAATCTGTCTGGGAAAACTTTATATCTCGAGAGAATTGTAAATCATGCCCCTCCGCATGCGCAGTAGCGGACTATAAGGTTATAATTTTGGATTAAAATGGCGACTGTAGTATTCTATTTTCGTGGACTAAAAATGGTGCCATAATTCAAATGTCATCTGTCACTTCTTAAACAGTCAAATGATCTTATTAAATATCCTTAATCTTGTAGCGCCTAAACAGCATAATGTACAGGGATGTGGGAGGTGTTAGGTGATAGAATTTAACAAATAGAATAAAATGTATATATATATATATATATATATATATATATATATATATATATATAAGAAAAAAGAAGTACTTGTGACTCGTTTGGAAAAAATATAACACTGTTTTTGATGGGTTGGAGTCAATAAAAGGGGCTATTTGTTGACTATTTTTTACTCGAGCTTTCAATTGTGATTACAATTTTTATCAAGAGCTTCTAAAAAATACAAAATATCTTACAAAGTTGAACTAGAAATAAAAAATTTTTTGTTAACTCACCAAATAAAATTAGTTTTTTATATAAAACTACTGCTTACATATTAAATACAAAAAATATTAATAAAAAAATGTCTTATTCTAATAAATGTTTCTCTGAAAAATTTTGATGAAGTTTCTTAAGAAAAAAAAATTGAATTTGTAAACAAAAATAGAATAGCTACAACCAGCCTAAATGTCATAAATACTAACTTAAAAATTTTTATTTTTGACATATTGTCAAAAATAAAATTTTGTTTAAAAAATTCTTCTTTGTTTAGTAACAAAAAAAGAAGATTTATTCACCATTGATAGATACCCGAAAAAATATAAGCTGAGTATATTGGTGAGACTGGAAGAAATCTCTCAAATCGCATTATTTCTCACAAGAGTGATTGTAGAATTAAGAAACCATCTTGTGCTTTGGTAGAGCATGTAATAGACAAAGACCATATTATGGATTTTGATAATATTAAAATTTTATGTAATGAAAGTAATAAATTTAAAAGAACTTTTTTGGAAATGGTTTGTATTAGCAAAAGTGATAATAATTTAAACAAAAGGTCAGAAATTCAAAATTTAAGCAAAATTTATAATTATATAATTTCTATTTAATTTATATATGCAGTCAGTAAAATATCACATTTTGAATTTTCCATGTATTTGTTACATTTTTTCGGGCATCTATCAATGGTGAATAAATCTTCTTCTTTTTTGTTACTAAACAAAGAAGAATTTTTTAAACAAAATTTTATTTTTGACAATATGTCAAAAATAAAAATTTTTAAGTTAGTATTTATGACATTTAGGCTGGTTGTAGCTATTCTATTTTTGTTTACAAATTCAATTTTTTTTTCTTAAGAAACTTCATCAAAATTTTTCAGAGAAACATTTATTAGAATAAGACATTTTTTTATTAATATTTTTTGTATTTAATATGTAAGCAGTAGTTTTATATAAAAAACTAATTTTATTTGGTGAGTTAACAAAAAATTTTTTATTTCTAGTTCAACTTTGTAAGATATTTTGTATTTTTTAGAAGCTCTTGATAAAAATTGTAATCACAATTGAAAGCTCGAGTAAAAAATAGTCAACAAATAGCCCCTTTTATTGACTCCAACCCATCAAAAACAGTGTTATATATATATATATATATATATATATATATATATATATATATATATATTATTTACCTCAATATATATATATATATATATATATATATATATATATATATATATATATATATATAAACGAAGAACGAAGAATGATCACAGCTGTCCGATTATTAATTAGTATAATGGTAAGGTTAATTGGGTTAGCAGCTGAATAATGAAAGCCAAAGTGTGCTCTTTTCAACGACTTCGCTATATTTCGTTAAATTTCTTTAACATCTTCAGACGAATGCTACAATATGTTACAAAATGGTGAAATTGTGTATTTTACATAAGATGTAGTGAAACACTTACTTGTCTGAGGTTGCAGGCAAAAGTGGTATTTGAAAGTTCCATGTTGAAAAACTTTTTTGAAGATTTTTTTTATAGCAAAAAAATAAGTTGTATGTGTTATATGGTGGCTTGAAAACTCAAACAATACAAGTGCATTTTTGTTATTTTCCTCCAGTGTGATAGTACAATACAAATATTAAAAACATTGAACATTTAAGAAACAAAACAGTTAAAACACAACTACATATCACATTGTCATTTTTTGGACCAGTCTATTCACCTATGCACAAGGAGGTGGAAAACTAGTGTGTACCTCAAGGTTAAAGTGTCTTGTCAGCTATCATATTAGTAGATGTCAGCCATATTATAAGTTATATAATAACTTATATAACTATAAACTTATAATTGAAAAGTGCACTTTATCAATCTTTAATGAATTTTCTAGTAGACAATTAAAAGTATATAACAAAATATTTTACAACACTAAAGCAATCCAACTAAAAAAGCTTGAATTTCTTAAAAAAGATTTCCATAACAATTTTTTAAAAACCAAACCAAATTGGATAAAAAATCTTAGTAATGTTGACATCCCTAAAGATATAGAACAACTGTTAGCACTAGGTCCTAAGTTTAGTATAGAACCCAGAGTAGGATATGACATTTCAATCAGAAGTATTTTAACTGATATAGAATTAGTGGCATCATCAATATCAAATTTGTCAGATAAAAACATAGCTCGAGCTAGGGTAACTAATGTTTTGACTAACTACATCTCACACAATAAAAAATCTTCCAACTATTTTCATCATTTATTAGATAAAACTAAAAAATTCTTAAAAAATCACTCTGAACTTATAGTCACTAAATCAGACAAAGGTAATGTTACAGTAGTTATGAACAAAACTGATTATCTAGAACTGTCTAAACAACTTATTAATAACAATGATTCATATCACACATTGAGGTCTGATCCTACTCAGTCTATACAAAGACAAAGTAACAAGTTAGTCAAGATGTTATTTGACAACAAACAAATTGATGACACTGCAAAGAAAAAACTTAATTCATATAATAGCATTTCACCTAAATACTATTCTCTACCTAAAATACACAAACCAACATTATCTGTTAGACCTATAGTATCGTCAATAGGAGCTCCTACTGAGAATATTGCTGGTTTTATTACTGAAATCCTAACCTCTGCTTATGACTGTAATAATGATTACTACATAAAAGATTCTTTTGAAGTTAACAATAAATTTAATAGATTACAACTACCTCAAGGTTATGTGTTGGTTAGCTTGGATGTGGTTTCCCTATTTAGTAACGTTTATCTTGAAGCTTGCATCAGATCATTAAATAAACATTGGTCAGAAATTAGTAGACATTGTACAATAGATAAAGATATGTTCATAAACTTAATCACCTTCTTATTCAATAATACCTATTTTTCTTTTGACAACACATATTACAAACAAACTTTTGGAACACCAATGGGAGCAAAAATTAGCCCCATTCTTGCTGCATATGTAATGGATGACCTGTTAGACACAATCATTCCAGTACTACCTTTCAACCTTTTCTTTTTAAAGAAATATGTAGATGACATGATCTTAGCTGTACCCAACAATATGATAGATGAACTACTATTTATATTCAATAGCTACGATCCTTACATACAATTTACCATGGAAGTCGAAGATGAAAATCAATCTATTCCTTTCTTAGACACTAAGTTAATCCGCTCAAATGATAACATCATTATAGTCGATTGGTACACAAAATCAATGAGTTCAGGCAGGTACATTAACTACATGTCCTATCATAAACACTCCACCAAACTAAACTTAGTAAAACAAATGAAAAATAGGGTTCTACAAATTTCAGATATATCATTCCATCAAAAGAATCTCAAAATACTTTATGATCTCTTTATAGATAATTCCTATCCACCTCTTCTTTTAAAAACACTTTTATATAATACTACATCAGTAACATCTATCAATCTAACTACCTCCCAACATTCTAACATAGCAAGTACAAATTCACAGAATACGGTTACCAGTCAAACCCTTCCAACATATTGTGTGCTGCCCTACATACGGGAACTAACACCAAAACTAACTAGAATCTTTAAATCATATGATAACATCAAAATAGCCAATAAAACAGTTTTAACAGTAAACTCTATTTTCTCAAAAATGAAAGATCGTACTCCGCATGACCAAATATCTAATGTTGTTTACAGTATTCCTTGTATGGACTGCAATGGCAAGTATATCGGCCAAACCTCTAGACGTCTTAAAGACCGTGTTACCACTCACAAAAGTGACTGTAGACTTTACCCAGATAGATGCACCCTAGCCAACCACGTTCACACCCAGAACCACAGAATGAATTTTGCAGATGTCAAAATCCTCGAAAAAGAAACAGCTTATAAGAGAAGACTTTTTTTAGAAATGACCCACATAGCAACAACAGATAATATAATCAACACAAAATCAGATATACAACACCTTAGTGAAATTTATTCCTTTCTACTGCAGTTGGAAACAAAAAATAATCAAGTCAACGAACTGGAATATTCTGAATAGTATAATATTGTCTATTAAAACTCTTCTGACCATCCAATTGAAGTAGTAACTTAATCATTATTATTGCAATTGTTGCATTTTTCCAGGAAATAAAATTCTTAAGAGTAATAACAATAATTAAAATAACTTTAAAAGAAATAATCACAAAGAAATAAATAAATTCTATATATATTTATTAACAACAGAATTTAATTGTCTTAAATTAACATAACATAATTTTCAATTAAATGTAACTTTACACATGAACTGAACACAGCTTTAGTTTTCTGGCTGACATCTACTAATATGATAGCTGACAAGACACTTTAACCTTGAGGTACACACTAGATTTCCACCTCCTTGTGCATAGGTGAATAGACTGGTCCAAAAAATGACAATGTGATATGTAGTTGTGTTTTAACTGTTTTGTTTCTTAAATGTTCAATGTTTTTTAATATTTGTATTGTACTATCACACTGGAGGAAAATAACAAAAATGCACTTGTATTGTTTGAGTTTTCAAGCCACCATATAACACATACAACTTATTTTTTTGCTATAAAAAAATCTTCAAAAAAGTTTTTCAACATGGAACTTTCAAATACCACTTTTGCCTGCAACCTCACACAAGTAAGTGTTTCACTACATCTTATGTAAAATACACAATTTCACCATTTTGTAACATATTGTAGCATTCGTCTGAAGATGTTAAAGAAATTTAACGAAATATAACGAAGTCGTTGAAAAGAGCACACTTTGGCTTTCATTATTCAGCTGCTAACCCAATTAACCTTACCATTATACTAAATATATATATATATATATATATATATATATATATATATATATATATATATATATATATATATATATATATATTATATATATATATATTTACCTCAATATCCGCCAATTTAGTTGCATTCTCGTCTATGTGTACATTTGCTTCTATTTGCGGTTTAATTGTTGCTGCAGAAATACTATGTTTGAGCAAGTTACTCAAATGTGATCTGTTAATTTCTTTTTTCAGATTCGAAAAATCGTCGTCAGTCATTGCGTCCAGGTCGCATTTGGTTATCTAGAACAAAAAAATAAAATATTTTGATGGAACAAAATCATTGCATATTGGAAGCATAGCTTTTTGTGGCGGGCTACGGACTGAATGCATTGATCGGTGCGGTGGATCGCGCAGAGAGAGGAAAAAATAAAAACGACGGAAATGCAATGTAACGACGGAAATGCAATGTAACGACAGAAACGCAATGTACGACAGAAACGCAATTAAATGAGATCGCGCGACCACACACTACATGCAGTAGTAAAATAGAATAAAATAATACAAACTAAATTCAGAATAAAATCAAATCAAATAAACAAAAATTAAATAAAATAAATTACAATTAAAATAAAAAAAATTAAAATTAAATAAATAAAAATAAAAATGAAATAAATCAAGAATAAAATAAAATAAATTAAATTTAAGTAAACTAAATACTCCAGTATTTAGTCAGAGTCAGAGTCGAAAATGCCACTGAACATCTAAAAATCGTAAAAAGAAGCTGTTGTTTGTTGAGAATGTCAATGCGCGGGCGTCAATGAAGATGCTAAAAGTTTACTACTTTCCCCTAAAAGTCCCCTCGTAGAGAGGGTAAAACGGAAAAAAAATCGATTTACCAAGAACCTGTACGCCATAGAAAAAAATGTTTCAAATAAAAAATGTAGCTAAGATAATTTTGAACAAAAACGTTTATTAGCATTTTTTGTGTAGAATAAACCGTTCTCTCAGAAACAACGATTGAAGAGATCGGCGATTTTGAATGTAAGTTACGCGTTCGAAATTAATGTTAAATAAAATTTGTAGCAGCTCGAAGGTAAAAATTCGATATCTTTTGATCCGAGTGTCCTATCGACAAAAATCAAGATGCGATTTAAAGTTAGACTGCAGCTTTCGTATGCAGATTTTGTATTTTGCCCAAATAAACTTAGATAAAGGTGTTAAATAAATAAACTTGGCACAAGTTTTGCCATTTTTGATGATTTTCATGAGATTAATACAATTTATCCTTTTTATTGACCGGCCGCTATGAAGTTTCCATTACTAGAGCCTAATGTTCAAAACCTATAACATGAAATTTTAGTTTTGAGTTTTGGCAACAAATGTGATGCATTTGAAATATTCTTAATTTGAACTTTCACATTACAAACGATCTAAAACGTTGAAAACTGATCTTCTTCAATTACATTAGTAAAAATAATTCATAATGTCCTGGACCTGACGTAATCATTTAGTGACGTCGATCTACGAACGAAACAACGAAATCAGGCATTGCTAAAAACATGCAGTTCTCTTCAGTGCGTTATGTAGCGAGACAGAGACGGAACTAGTTTTTGCGTTAGTAAAATAGCTTTTTATATTTTTATTTTATAACTTACAAACAATCTAAAACTGAAAAAAAAAACGAAAAGAAAAATCTATCAGTTTCTGATACTTTATTTTGGGCTTATTTGACTTTAAAATGTTGATTTTAGTTGTTTGAGGGCCTTATCCCAACCTAAAAATGGATTTATATAAAACTGTTTAATAAATTAAGGACCACTTTTTGTATGGGTGACCTCTTGAACACTATTCTGCGGTCTTTTATAAAAGTGATTATGCAAAAAATCTCATGCGGATATTTTTCCCAAGGAATTCGAGGTTTTCGTCTCGTATAAACATGTTTTGCTGAATTTAAAACCAAAACCCTATTATTTTTCTATGATATATTAATTTGTTATTTATTTATTTGTCCTCTAGATTTTTTCAGTTCTTAAAAGGTTTATTTACAAGCCAAATTAGTGCAATGTAAATATTTTACGGTCGGCGATATTACGGACCAGCACGCACCACGCACCGTGGGAAGGGTTTCGTCCGTGGTAGCGCAGGCACGTCTGTGCTGGTCCGTCCTATCCATCTAGAGTCGGTAACATCAAAGGTGCGGTACATGCTCGTGCGACGCGATCCTAGCGCGTCTGTGTTTTAACAGACGACAAGTGCAAGTCAGAAGTTTTTCATTCGCTGACACGAGTAGTTGTCTGTAGTGTTGTCAAAGTTGTTTTGCAGTTTTTTGCTAAAAAATGGAATGGACAAACGAAGTTATTTTTGATTTTTTAAATTTGTATCAAAATGAAACAAATTTATGGAATTCTACGGCACCAGAGCATAAGAAACGGAACCGATATATACGATGTATGGAACCGAATAAAAAATCAATTGAAGAATAGTACTATTTCGATTAAAGAATTAAAAAAGAAGAGACATAATTTAATGCCGAATTTAATGTTTACAAGCCTGAGTGGCCTTTTTATGATATAATCAAACAATACTGTCACGGACCTACACAGACTGTCACGGACCGTAGGAAGAGCTCTGTCTGCGGTGCGTTCTCGTCCGTGCTGATCGGCTGTCCGCGATGATCTGTAGAATCGCCGATCGTGGGAAGCCACTATAATATATCATGTTTATTGGAAATATTCGACATCATTAGCAAGTGCAAATCCTACCCTGTCGCCCAATTTCCTATGAAATTAAAATGGTAAATGCTTTTAGGATCCATTTATTTTTTCGGGCATGCGCATTTACGAGGTCCACGAGATTTTAAAACATTTTTACGTTTTTCAAAAGTATCCAACTTCTGCTACAAATTACAGCCAAAACCGTCTTCTTAAAGACATTTCCTTGACGTGCGATTGTAATGTAAAAGTTTAAATTCTGCGTTTTTTAGCCTATTTCAAATGCCTCATATTTGTTGACACAACCCAAAATCGAAATTTCGTGTTATAGGTTGTAAAGATTGGTCTCCAACAATCAAAATTTCACTACGATTGATCAATGAAAGTGATAAATTTTATTGATCTCTAGAAGAATTACCTGTATTGAAAATTACCTTATTAAAAATACTGTTCAGTTCATTTTGTAGATTAATAACATCTTTTTTGTTGAGATTCATTTGGACGTCTCCTTCAGGTCCCGGGACGTGCGGAAAAGGAAGGTCTGAATTCAGTTCGGCTTCTGAGCAACTCGAACTCGACATCTTTCTGCTGTGCTGGCTATAAATTTCTTCCGAATAACTAAAAAAATATATTAACTACAAACAACAAAAAAAGCGAATCCAAAAAATAATAGAACAAAACAAAATTCCTCAAGAATGAAGATTTCCCCACTGAAATAGATACAGTCCATCTGATATGTGACGGATGTGGGGGACAAAACAAAAATTCGACACTTGTATTTATGTGTCAAACATGGTTTGCTGATGATGCTCATAAATTTAACTTGTCTATCCAGTTATAGTCGCACGTAATTTCGTGAGAAAATTAACAGAGACCAAAACAAGCAAAATACTAGTAAAATGGCAACGCTGTTACAGTTACCACTCCTTTATTGTAGTACATAGTAGTAGAACAGTAGCGTAGATATCTAATTTTAAATTAAATAAAAGTTTTTACTTTTATTTAATTTTATTTACCAAAAAGTTTCATTTTCTATAAAGTTTAAATAAAAAATATCGGTGTTTTTAACTTCTGTGATATATCTTGGGAGTGATAACACTAATCGACTCGACTGAACAGAACTTATTGTAAAATAATAATATCTATATAAAACATTGTTAATAATAGTAGTTATTCAGCGAGAATGACAGTGACAGTTTCAGTTGACATCCTCCCCTAAAACATTAATAATTTTTGTCCTATCAAGAAGTGTGTTTATACCCTGTTTTCAAAGATATATAAGCAAAATGAGAATATCTACAATTAAAATAGAAATAAAGGTTTCAACTAACACCTAATAAGTACTTACTATCTACTCAGAATCGCTGTTATCACTAGTATCACTCGTATCATCTAAATTTATATGTAATTTGGTTAATGCTGGTAAATATTTAACATAGTCATTTTCCACTCCGATCACATGTTTTATTTTTATTACATTTTTCCAGTTGGTTGCTGTAATTTTTGTGACTTCTCTTCTAATTAACTGGAGAACAGTAGACAAAAAATTTTGGAGCAACGTTTCTTCTCATTATATTTCCTTTAAGTTGAGCCCATATTAACTCTATTGGGTTCAATGTACAATAATAAGGAGGAAGTCTAAACACAGTATGCCCGTTACTACGAGCACAGTTGTCAACAACATATTCCTTTTCGTACTGTTTACTATGAACAAACTCCAACAATTGCTTTTTAATATAAGATGTCTCAAAATACAAATCTTCCGTGAATAAAAAATCCTGAATTTTTAATTTATTCCAACTATTATTTGAAGTTTTTTTCATTAATCTTAAATGATATGATGCGTTGTCCATGATAATCACACTATCTTTAAGTAATTTCGGAAGAAGACATTTTTCAAACCATGATTCAAAAATTGAACTTTCCATATCGTCATGATAATCCAGAGACGCGTTTTTAATTTGTTTTGCAGATATTAATAATGCATCGTCGACCCATCCATTTTCTCCACCGCAGTGTAAAATTATAATTCTCTTTCTTTTATTGGGCGGTACTGAGTTGAAACACTTTTTGTTATTATTTGTCCAACTTTTTTTTCACGGTGTCATGAGTATCATACCAGGTCTCATCTAAATAAACAATATTTCGTTTCATTTTTCGATACTCAGTTATCTGTCTGATATAATTGTTTCTTAAAGAAATTATTCTAGTACTTTCCATTAATGTCTGTCTCTTGTCTATAGTTTTGTACTTAAAATTATTGGCTTTAAGAAATAATCGAAGTGTTGTTGCTGAACACGAGAGAATGCACTTTCGAACTAATTCACTTCGAAGGCTTTCAATAGTTGGAAAAATATTAGCCGCATACATTTGGTATATTGTTCTAGTTATAGATTCAATTAAGTGCGGTTCTATTTTTCTGAATTTGCCACAATCCTTTCTCTTCTGTCTAGAAGAAGATGTTTCTCCTATAATTTTGTAGTGGCTTGCTTTGGGCACTCTGGTTAAAAAACATGTTTCTGCAATTGCCTCTGAATTAGACAATTCAGCACACAGTCCTTCATAAACATTTTTTAGCATACGTTTGGCATCATCAGAAAGGTATTGAAAATGTCGCTTACGTTTTACTACACGCCTTTGTAAATCTTCCAATCGATTAGAGGGTTCCATTGTCTCTTCAGCTACATAATTATTATCGCACCACGGACGCAATATTTTAAAATTATCAAACGTATAAAAACATAATCACGTAAAAACGTATCAAAAAAAGTAAAAAACGTAAAATATAAAATGTTTTCCGTATAAAGAACACTGAAAAAAGTCACTACCAAACTAACTTGCGGTTCACTATTTGAAATTTGAATTTAACTGAAAGCTGTAGCAGTTATGATTTTACTAAAAATATTCTTGTCTCCCAAAAATCTGTTGGTCATCTCCGCAATTTAAAAATAAATATTATAAAAATTTGCCTACCTAAGTTTTCCCCGTCCCGTGCCTTCGGCACTGGACGGTCGAAACCTGATCCCTTATTTTATGACTCCGTAAGCTCAGTCAAATACTGATATAATCTTACCCCAAGTATGAATAAGTCTACCGACAAAAGATAATGCATTATGATTTGTCATAACAGCGATATCCGATGTTTTCATTGGCCGTTAGTCCACGTGGACTTGTCATAAGTTCGATGAAAACTTAATTGGTTGATTGTTCATATCTGGTTCATATTTTAAAAGATTATACCAGGCACGTCTGAATGTTAATATCGAGTGGAATCTGGAAACTTTGTATTATTATACGTCTGAGTCATTGATAATTTTACAGACTCCTGGTAGAGTACCTTTTTGTTGAATGATTTTATTACAGATACATATATTTTTGCACAGTCTCACGGAAATACGAGGCTACTATACAGGACACAGCTTTTTACTTGCTGATCGAGTTTTTGGCATTATTGAAAAAGCGGTACGAAGAAAAACGACAATAATCAACCCCAAAAATATTTTGATATATTTTCTGAATATACAACCGTAATTAAATATCCAGAATTTGAAGTAATGGATTGGAAAACAGAAAAATGGATATTGAAAGGGCTCCCAAGTTGGCATTTCCAAATCAGCAAATCGTCAAGAATTACAATATTACCAGAGGAGAGTTTGCGAGGACATAGAATTCTTGTTCAAGGAGAGATGCTCTACAAATCTGACACTGAAACCACATTATCAGTAACCAAGAAAAGTAAAGCATCGACTGGTATAAATCCTGTAGTTTTACCTCTAGGTGTAAAGGCCAAAGAAGCAAGACACAAAGATGTAAACGAGCTACAAAACAAACATTTCGGTACAAACTGGAAGCGAATGCAGGAGCTAGAATTCTATGTCAAAGATTCAAACGAGAATGAGCGACATATTAAAATGATCTTATTTTAATGATCCAATCAGTAAACCAAAAATAACATAATTTAAAACTGATAACTTTATTGTGCTCATCTTACCTACATGATATTTCCAAATTTGTTTACTTGTTGGCAAAAAATTTAACAATAACCAACATAGTTTGATATAAACAATAATTACTGATATGTACAAAATAAACTTAAAGTGTCAAATATACCATAGATATTGTTCGCTCCAAATGGTGTATGTCAAAAGTCAAAATCACCAAATGTGGATCGTGGCAGTTAATGAGTTAGGGTGCCACAACATTGATAAAACCTGCATGTAAAATAATATAGTTCTTGGCTAGTAATAAAGAACAAATATAAGTAAATATATGAAGTCACAAGCAGAGAAGCATGCAAACAATTTGTATAAGCATCAGACCATGTTTAGTACCACTTACTTTTTCTCTACATCTGCACATTTCTTCTCAAAATATGTCCTCAGTTCCTCCATTTCCCTGGAATGCTTCAAATCCAGCTCGTCTTTCAAAGCTATGAACTGCGTAGAACCTGCTTGAAATTCGGCTAGAAGGGCCCTCAGTCTAGAAATTTCTGATTCGTATTCATCTTTTTCTAGTGACATATTTTCCTGGAAAGTAAATTATTAAAATGTGTCATAAAAACCTTAACATAATTAATGATAACTTACCTTTAACATTTTAATTTCTTGCTCATATACGCTTTTATTTTCTGAGATTTTCTCCTCCAAAACTTCATTAAATTTGAGATTTAACTGTTTCAGTAAGTCTCGTTGATTCATATCAAGGTGTTGTTTTAATGCCATATATTCAACTTCCAGATTGTTATTTACTTCTTGAGATACCAAAGATTTATGCTGACAAATAAAGATGTTTAGCTTTATATACAATCTAGCAATTATAAAAGATAAAAGAAACTTTATACTTACATCATGAATACTTGAATCCAATCCTTCTTGGACTGAGTCAGACGTTTCATTTTTCATTTGAGCAATTTTTACTGTTTCTCTCAATTCGGAAATTTCCTCTTCAAAGTCACCAATTTTTGACATCAGCTCTTGTTTTTCCTTTGATGATTGGTCCAATGATTCAGTTAATTTCTGTATTAGATCATTTTTAATCAAAATTGCATTATTGTATTCTGAAACCTGAAGTAAAAATTAAGAAATGCTAGTGCCAGAGAAACTGTCAGTGATCATTATGAGCAAATATCTAAGTATTATATTTCAGCAAGCCTTAAATACTTGCACTAAAGTTTAATATTAGCATTACACCAATACCTACACTCGCACAGTGTAAAATATCATACCCACCTTTCCATTCCACTCCTCCTGTAGCTGCTTGTACTCAGTAGTTGACAGAGTACTTACAGTATTGGGGTTGCTCATTTCTCTGAAGGAATCTAATTCACTGGTAAGAGCAGCTATCATGTTGTTCTTAATATTTATAAGCTCTTCAAAATCTTTAAGCCTTCTACTTAATTCCTCCTCGTTACAAACTGGTTCAAGTCCAAAATGTGATGCATTCAAATTTTTTTCATCTATACTGAGTTGGGTACTATGTCTAATATTGGAGAGACTTTTGTCATCTAGGTCTAGGTTTTGGAACATATTAAAACTCTCTTCTTTTGATCCAGTGCTTAAATCTTTGTCCGATTTACTGGCATCACCTTGAAAACTATCTTCTAACATATTGGCCAAATAATTTTCTTCTATTCTTTCTAGATATAGTAAACTTATAATGCTAGATTCACTTTGTAGACTTTCATTCAAGATATCAGGTTGTTTTTCATCTAAATCTACTTCATCCCTTCTGTCTTCATTCAAATAAGTGCCCTGATACTGAAAAATAAGATGCACTTATTATAAAATAATAATTTGGCACAATATACAAAAAATTTTTAAAGTAAAATTGTGGTTTTTTCTTGTATATATATATATATGCCTCAAGAAAATAGCTTCGGAACAGCCTATGGGCATTTTGCACTAATTTAGTTACTGATCATTCCCAGTAATTTTGCCATATGTTTGTACAGTGAATTTAATTCGTATTTTTGAAGTCAGTATAAGGAAAATTGCTAGTTATTGGTGTATGAATACATATATTCAACTTGCACCAGCTGATGCAAGTTGAATTTTTCGTGGCTCTGAGGAAGTCTGTTTCCTTTCCTAATGACCAGATTATTTAATATTGTTCTGAAGCTATTTTTTTTGTAGCATCTTAATACAATTTACGATTTTTACTGGAAATAACCCACAATTTTACTTTAAAATAGGTTTAACTTAATAATATTTTGTAATATGAGAACCGTGTTGGTTTAATTTCCAAGAGGGGGTTCTGAATTGTGTAGGGGCTCATCAGTACTTTTTGGAGAACACATCAGAGGGGGGTAGTTTTCAACCTCAACACGACGCGTCCCAATGGATGATAGGAAACATCCTACAGTTATGGGGCAATTGTGAATAAGGCTTTGCCAAATAAACACCTGCACATCAACTGATTTAAATCCATATTTTTACCTCTACCAAAAAACAACAATCCCAAATCATGTAATGATTATAGATTGATAAGCCTAATGTGCCATCCTTTTAAGATTCTCTTGAAAATTGTTCAAAACCGAATTTATAAGAAATGTGAGAAGCAGATAGATCAAACTCAGTTTGGCTTCAGAGGAGGCATGGGTACAAGAGAGGCATTATTTGCGTTGATGGTACTCTTGCAGAAATGTTGGGAATATAACAAGAGTGCATATGTATGCTTCATAGACTTTAATAAATGAATTAAAAAACATCAATTTAGACAAAAAAGACATTGAGTTTATTAAGGCTATATACTGGAACCAGAAAGTAGTAGTAAGGGTCAACAATATAGAAACAAATAATATACTGATTGCGAGAGGGGTCAGGTAATGATGCATAATGTCTCCTACTTCTTTTTCTTCTTCTACGGCACTACAGCCCAAAATGAGCCTTGGCCTCCTTTATTTTTTGCCTCCACCCTTGTCTGTCTGTGGCTGCTCTTCTCCATACACGGACTCCTAAAAGTGCTTGTGCGTCGCTGCTTACTGTGTCTTCCCAGCGCTTTCTTTGGCTTTCCAACTGGTCTCTTTCCCTGCATTCTGGCGTTCAGTGCTCGTTTTGGTAGCCTATCCTCTCCCATTCGTATCACATGTCCGGCCCATTGCAATCTTTGTATTCTAATGAAGTCTGACAGGGGTGTTTCCTTATACAGTTGATAGAGCTCGTTGTTATATCGAATTCTGAAGATTCCATTTTCCCTCACAGGTCCTAGTATTCTCCTCAGTACTTTTCTTTCGAATGTGTCGAGTTTGTTTTTGGATGTTTCTTTCAGGACCCATGCTTCGCTGCCATAACATGCTATTGGCCGAATTAAAGTTTTATAGATTCTCAAATTGTCTCAATTGTCTCCTACACTTTTCAAAATGTGCTCACAGGTCATATTCAGAAAAACCTTCTGGAAAATAAAAGAGAGAATAAGAATTGGTGGAGAAATTGTAAATGCCATGAGATTTGCAGATGACATGGTAATATGGCTGAGAGTATAGAAGAACTACAAACTTTACTAGATGCAATAAATAGTGAATGCATTCAAATGGAACTTGACATCAACACAGCTAAGACTAAATTTATGATAGTATCAAGGAGTCCAATAAATAATGAACAACCAACCCTTGGTGGACAGCAGAAAGGACAGAGAATCAAAATTTAAATATCTGGGAGCTTACATCAACACAGAATTAGATCCAGACCAAGAGATCAGTCAGGGCTGATGGTAAGTCATGGCTGTAAAATATTCGAGACTGACAAACATGACTGTAGATGAATTATTCCATGTTGCAAAAGACAGAGAAACTTTTAGAGAAATGGTTGCCAACCTACATTAATGGGGACGGCATAGGAAGAAGAAGGAAGATATGAGAACAATTTCCCAAGTGGAAATGAGAATGCACTTTTTCGTTTTACTCAATTTGAAGAAAGCTATGACTTCCAAAGTGACAAAAAGATATGTAAATACCTTTTATTTACTAATTTTTAAAAACAGATTTGTAAAATTTGTAGTTGATTTGGGATACTTTCTTAAATGTGAACTCAATACTCAGTGATCAAGTTGTCAATGGAGGAGACATTACATTTGTCTGTAGTGATAGACTTAGTTGATCCCTTTCAAAATTGATGACTTTCATTCTTTTTATATGAGTGTTACCATTTTTTTTTTGGCTTTTTAAAGTTAAACCAAGAAAGTTTACTTTTTTGATTGTTTTTTAAATAAAGTTATTTAAGGTAAATGCACTAGTACTTGACACTGTACCAGTAGTTGACATTTTCCATTTTAAGCATAAATAATAAGCTTTTCCAATTATTTTTAATGTAATTATTACCATCATAGTTAACTAGTGTCATTTATACATCTTCTCTGTAACTGTAGAATTATTTAACTTTGAAACAGAAAATTCCCACCAAATTTTTGTCAAAGTGTTGTGTGAGCTTCAAGTGGCAACAAGTTTTCTAAACAAAAGTATTAAGAAGGTAAGTTTAAAAAAATTAATATTTATTGATTAAATTGTGAATGACTGTAGTTTTAGATATATCAATATATTATATGAATATTAAGGTAACATCTTGCTAATGTTTTAAGTTTGTTTTATTCTCAAAACAAAAATTAGGCTAGGTGTCAATTACTAACTCACAAATACACAAAAATACTAGTAGTTGACATAGGTGTCAACTACTAACCATTTATACTGAGACTGTAAAAACTTAATATTTTATTGTTATTTTCATTGTATATAATGTGTACACTTATATTTTAAATATCACGTAAATGTATCCACTCTATCTAGTAGTTGACACTATGTCAACTATTGAAACACTTTGGATGTCAACTACTAAAACAAAAATTTTAAATTTCAGTTAAAAATATGCCTCCTATAAAAGGACAAATGTTCCAATATACAGAAGAAGCTATGGAGAAAGCTATTGAGGAAGTTCTATGTAGAAAGCCAGTTTCAGCAACATTTAACATTACACACTAGTAGATTTTGCAGTGAACATGGTATTATATTGGTAGCCCTTCATCCAAATGCAACACATTTGCTTCAGCCAATGGATGTTGCTGTATTTCGTTCTTTGAAAGGGGGTTGGAAAGATGCAGTACACCAGTGGCGGATTGAGAATCAGGCTTCTCCAGTTTTAAGGAAAATTCACTTCTGTCCTCTTTTGAAAAAAGTTCTAGAGGAAAGGTTAAGTACCATCAATTTTAAAAAATGGTTTCCGAAAATGTGGCTTAGTTCCCTAGGATGTTGGTGCGATTATGTTTCACAATGAGAAAATAGACATTTCAAAGAAAATGCAGGAATTGCAGGAAATGAAACAAGGGAAAAACTTTATAGAGAAACATATTGAGAAACAAAAACTAGCTCTTTTCAAAACAAGCCTAGAATGGAACAATGACAATGAAGATTTATTTCTCTTTTACTTTTACAAAAACATTTGCATAAAATACAGTCTTTTAGAAGAAGAAATAAACAATTTGAAAGCGAAACAAGGTGCAAAAGAACCAGATGATGAAGACAATATTATTGAAGATGCCACTTATATTGAGGACATACCAAATGTTGAAGACAGCCCTAATGTTGAAGACATTTACGTAGAGAACAAACCTGATAAGCCAGTCGAAGAACAGTATGAAATAGGTGAGTTATTAAACCAATCTGAGGCTGAACCAGGTAGAAACATTTCGGATGTTTTGGAAAGTCACACTAGTCCCACTAGGAAAAATCTTCAACATAACAATATTGCTATTATTCAAGACACTTGTGCTTCTTCATTAACACAATCACAAGTTCCATCTTCAGCAATTGAAGAATTACCTACACCTTCTACATCAAATGAAATTATACCCTCTCCTTTTAAATGAATACTGTTTTGGCCTGAACCCAGAGTATCCGCAGTAAAAAAAAGAAGAGTGGAAAAAGTTCCTTCTGTGGCTAGTTCAAAAGAATGGCAAACTTATCATGAAAATAAAGAAAATAAGAAGATCAAGCTTCTTGAAGAAAAACAGAAAAGAGCAGAAGAGAGACAAAAGAAAAGAGAAGAAAAAAACTTTGTTAAAAAACAGAAACTGAAAGCGACGAAAAAAAAGTAAGTAAGAAAAAGGAAGAATCATCAAGTGATAATAATGAATCATAGGTTGAATCTGGTAGCAGTAAAATGACAGTAAAACTTCTTTTCGAATTAATGATAAAGATGTGAGCGTAATAACATTTCATCAAATCCTCAAAAACCGCAAAAGGATGCCCCAACCTCAGATACTCATTTCATGAGAAAGAATAAAGTATCAGTTTCCAGATTCAGTGGATGTGGAAACATCTAACATTAAAGTTCTCCTGTAATTACATATTCTTAATAAAATTATCAAAATATATTTGGGTGTCAATTACTAAACCTTGGATGTGTCAACTACTAATTTTTTTTCATTTTGTTGTGTCAACTACTGACACTTTTGCAACAATTTTTGTAAATTTTATAAAAAATATTTAGAAAGCAGAATTGTCCAAAAATTTATTTGTTAAATATTCAGGAAGGATTAGATTACCTGAATATACATATATTTTTTATTTAATTTCATCTACATCGGTTTGAGGCTAAATAATGTTTTTTTTTCTTCTTATAATGTCAACTACTAGTACATTTACCTTAAATAATGTTAAATTATAAACTGAGGGGGTTAAACTACCTATATGATGATGTTTAAAATAACAAATTTTTGCCATATTAAACAAATTGCAAAAAACATAAAAAGATAAAACATATTATCAGAATTCTATAACATATATGTATCTACTAATGCAGTGCCACAGAACATATAACTGAAATCATAGTAATTATTCATATTATACAAAGCCACTACTTGGTTTTAGCTATATATTCCAAACTATAAAAAAGAAAGTCATAGACTATAATATATTTTATATAACACTAAGAAATCATTATATTCAAAAATACGTACATTATAAACTTCTATTTCCTGGAAAGAACGATCGTTTTCAATACTGCCACTATTGGAAGATATGTGTTCAGATATATCTTCACTTTTTTCCTCCCCCTTTCCTTCGCCCAAAGGGAGGCTCACAGTGAGCGAAACAGAATCTGTCTCCGATTTATCATCGTGCGAAGGAGATTCCTGAAGAAAAAATTATATTTAGATTGTGGCTTTGTTTTCAATTGATAGGGCTAAATTTAACTTACTTCGTGAGGTTTTTTGTCACTTGTTCCCTCCATGTCTTTCTCTGAAAAGATATCGCTTTAATTCTTTGTCACTTTGTTTTTCCACAAATTTTCACAAATCCACAAGAAATTACATTTTTAAACCTTAAAATCCAATACAAACATTGGCATTCAACTTAAACTTTGAAAACTAAACCTGAAAATTTTCTGTTGATTTTACATTGCGCAAGGCATGACGGTTGCCAGCGGCAAGTTGACTTATGACATGTTTGTACATGCGTTTGTGGTTTTTCCAGAGAGTCGGGACTTGAGCCATTTATTTTAAACCAAAAAATAAAAAAGGTGAAATTAGGAAATTAAATCTAAAAAGAATTGCACCTTTCAATTCTTAAATCGTTTATTAAAAAGGTTTATACTATTTAATTCTTTACTCGTGATCAATTTGGTAATCACTATAGCTATTCCTTTTGTGGAGACTTCTCTTCATACCCAATCAACTGACCCAACAATATATTTATATTTCTCGTTTCATTCTCTGTGATTCATCAAAAATATCAAAGTATAAAATTTAACATTAAGTATCAATATTTATCATAGCAACAATCAATGAGCAATGGTTGAGTTCCAAGAGATACAATATTATAAAATTATGATATAACAATTCATTCTTTAATAGGCAATTAAAGTAACATTCCTGGTTTATTTAAAATGTATTGGATTTATTTTATGAATTCTAATAAAGTGTATTATGCAAACTCAATCACGAAGGATAATCAAGACATAATCAAATGTCACATTGGATGCGAATAATAGTAAAACTATTCATTTGAATAGTCTATTCTAGCTTAAGCATATTTTATTAATGAATTATTATTTAGGTATTTATTGCAGTTTTATAGTGGATAATAGCTTATAAATTTGTTTTAAAATTGTGAGTAATACTGGTTATCTACTTCTGGTGCAATATTAAAAACTCATTTGACAAGTTAGCCATAACGTTTCCTTTTTAGGAAAGCCAAAACATATGTTCTTTAAAGTATTTCAAAAAATGTAACAAAAACTGTTAGTAAACATGATGTTATTTATAGTACTGTTATTTGTATGTTATCCCTTACATATATATTCATTTGAAATATGCAATGAAAACGAGACTATTCAATGCCGAAAGGTAAACACCTTTTCTTGTAACCTACTTTCAATAATCCCTTTAAATATTTTTCAGTTAAATAACAATCTAAGAGATAATTGCTATACTGAAGTTAGTATCAGTGCAGAAAATTGTTGCCTTCCAAATTTCATAAGGAGCGATCATGTAAAAATCGATTTTGGAGATGTTTTTCTGCAGTTAGAGCAAGAAACTCTTCATAACTTTCTTTCTATGAACATATATCCTACAGTCGAATGGAAAAGTAGGTGTTTCCTTATTAGTATTTTGATAACAATCATATATCGTCCGTTTTAATTTTTAGAGGCTCTAGTGAAGTTATCAGAGTATGGAAATTATCAGTCATGTAAAATTTTCAATGTGGGCAAAGATGATGATTCTATGGATTTATTAAAATATGATTGTAACTGGAAAGGAATAGAAGGGATTGAAAAGCCATTCTTGTTAGAGATCAGTTCTGAATACAACAGTCAATATGCACACAAAAAGATTTTGTTTAGTATTCCTGATTCTGTGTACTTTAGTGAGTAAACTATGAACATATATGTATTTGTAGTTTCAAAGATTTAGGTATGTAAGATTAATGTATGCTTATTAAAACTCTGCTTTTATTTTTTCTTTCAAATATTGGATAAAGTTTTGCTCTTACCAGGAAATGATCACTATCTTCATCTGCAACTCTGTAAGATCATGTATCCATTACCATCCAATATTCTATTTGAATAAGCATATGGTCTATTTGATTGATATCTTTACAATTTGGAGCTAGACAAGAATCTTATGTATGTCTTTATGAGCAAACTTCTGGCTTTTAACAGACAGTTCTTCTATTGTTGCTAACTTTATTAATATTTGTCTGTTATTGTTGGTAATTTTGTATTATACTGGCTTATACATTTCTTCTTTTCCAATATTTGCATTGATATGTCCTATTCTTATTTTTTATATATTTTGACAATGAGGTAAAATATTTTTCTATGTTTGCATTAAAAGCCTCTTCTTCTTTGTATATTTTTATTTGTTATTTATATCATACCAGCCACTATTAATGTATTTCTATTGTGAAATTTCCCTTTTGTTTAGTTTCTTGGAGCTCTAACACATTGAATGTGCATCTTTCTTCTATCAATTGCTTTAGAGCTCCTTCTTCAAAGTCTCTCACATTCCAAGTATAAAGTTTCTTTTAGTTTTCACTGTCTTTTCCCTTTGCATTGTCAAGACATTTTCCGGTAAGATCATAATTCTCTGTTTAGCTTCATTGGCTCTTCTAAGAAATGGCAGTTTAAAATCTCTACTTATTTGTATTGGCATCATCATCAATGGTGCTACAGCCCTATGAAAGAGCCTGACCTTCCCAAGTCTATTACGCCAGGCAGTCCTATCCATTGCCAATCGTTGCCAGTTTGCTGCGCCTATCTTTCTACCATCGTCATCTACACCATCCTTCCATCTGAGTTTCGGCCTACCCCTTTTTCTGCTTCCCACGGGTTGTGACATAAGGATTCTTCTAGGAGGGTTGTTCTTTATCTCTCTTTTTAAATAGGTGTTTCTCACTCCATCTCACGTAAGGTACATACTGACCATAAACTTTTACCTACACTGTATATACATAAACAATTTTTTGTTTAGGAAACACTGTGCCTCCTACCAAACGTCAAATTTTTTCCTACATAGACTTTACAAATGCCAACAGAATTATTTTAAAGATCCAACCATTGCCGGAAATTTATAAAGTCAGCCACTACAAGGTGGAGGTGTTCAGGGAAAAAGAAAAACATTCCCTCATGCTGGATGTGAGACTGTTAGCAGCCGAGCAAGGAAAGTCAATTGATTTTGAGTATATTACGTATAGTGAAGAAGGTGACTACTATTTTGCGGTTTCAGTAATCGCAAAGAGTTGTCCAGAGGATATTTGTTTTAAAACTTTCACTCCCAAAGTACATATCGGTAAGTATATTATATTATTTTTGAAGAAGTTTTTCCACTCTCTGAGTAAATGGTCTCAAAACAAATTTTGAAACGAATCATTTTGTACTTTACAAGAAGAATTAATAATAATAATAATTATAATATAATTATATAATATATAGAAACTCGCAAAAATAACTTTTTAAGATTTACAACTTTTATTTGAAACATTTTTCTGTAAAATATATAAGAAACGTTTTATAGGCAAACAATGATTTTTTCACTTTTTATGATCATTAAAAAAACTAAAAACATCAATTTTATGTCTTCAAGGATTTGTATCAGCTACCCCTCATATATTTTGTAGAAGCATTTTAATGGTCTAATATTATTGTGTTGCTAACAATAATTATTTTTTTAGTTCGAAAAGGAAGACCTTTGGTGATTGGTATTGTAGGTGCTAGCTTTTTGATTCCATTTGTTTTATTTTCTCTGTATCTATGGAATCATAAATACCGCAATCAGGGTGAGTAAAATTCTGATATAAAGAATAATATGTTCATGAGATGCAAGTTTATAGTGCTTACATTTATGATATGTGACATAAACCCTTTGTAATATTATGTCACAAATAAATAAAGGATCTATAAATGGATGTAGTGTTAGTTTATATTCCATGTTAAAAAGCATGGTTAATAGGGTGCATCGAAACAGGCGAAAAAAAAAATTTTTTTTGCAATGGAAAAGTAATACCTCACAAAAGTTGCCCAATCAACTGGTAAGTAATTTGGTAAAATCTGGTCGAAATTGAAAAATATCTTCTGCCCCCCCAAGACAATTAAAAATTTTGAAAAAATATTAACAGACAAAATAATTTTTATTTTGAGACGAAAATGGAATACCTCACAAAAGTTGCCTAAATAACACACTATTTAATATTTTAGTAAAATTGCGTTGAACTAAAAATATATTTTCTGCCCCCCTCGGCATCAAAATTAGAAAAATACATTAACAGCGCATTTTTCTTTGTAACGGAAAGGTAATACCTTATAAAAGTTAAATTAATAAATTCGGTTTAAAATATGTTCTGGTTCTACAAATCAATTAAAAATTTAAGTTAAGAAAAATATTCTCCAACATTTTTTTATAACAAAATAGCCCAACTTTTCCTTCTGTCTCTGTGATGTCACCAACGTTTTTTTTAATACTGAAATAAAAATAAAAAAACTATAAATTTAAAGTGGTGTATTATAGAAGTATTACAAAAATATGGTAAAACAATTCTATTTAAAGATGTATTCTGATTTAGTGTTAAAGTGAGGCATAGTTTTTCTGGAATCAACTCGCGTTTTTATAAATCCATCCCTCGAGTCCGCTCCACAAACTGCTTGAGAAGCTTCTGTCACAAGCTTGACACATCGTTCTACACATTGTGTGTGGCAGTGATATTTCTCAATATTAAAAGGGTCTAAGTCCGGATTCTTAATAAAATCTCGCAGATCGTCATTCGAAACTCTAGAGAAGATAGGTGGTTCCGTAAGGTTACACTCTTGCCAATTAATTAACTCAAAGTAGTCGTTTGCATCAAAATTTATAGGAGAAATTTTGAAGACTCTCACGTTTTTTGATTTTGTCGCTGGAAACCTTCTTGCTTTTAAGATGCGGCGTAATCCAAGTTCCCGAATATGGAGTCGTTCATCCGATATCATGCTTAAAAGTATATTTTCACAATGACCGAAATATGCAGCTCGTTGAATTACAACGTCGACTACAGCCCTTAATTCGCTATTTAAGTACCGAGATAATTGAATGGTTTTAAAAAGATGTTTTGCACCATATTTACATGTCGGTTGGGATTTTATGCTGAACCACATTGGAGCGTATACCTTCATAATATATTCTGTGAGTGAGATTAAGTTCACCGGTGGCACGATACTCGATACATAGAGCCGAAGAATGCGATTGGCAGTTGTTACCCACCTTGAATGTGCCAGGGGTCCGGGTTTTCGATCTGTAACACTGGTAGTACACTGGCCACTGGATACTACGTGGTACATTTCATACAAATACTTTTGATCTGTACTAAGCTCCTTCAAAATACTTTCGGGAATCGTGGGTAAATTACCTTTAATTGGTTTGAACGCAACGATTGGCAGTTGGTCGCATTGTAATAACTGCTTACCAATAGGACCTGAAAATCCTCTAGGTCCAGAAGTATCTCCATCAAGATGGTGAAAAAGATGTCGAAGGGGTAGTTCATTTGCATGTAGCAGACATACAAACCACTGAAGCGGTTTTTGAAGATGTTCTTCTAACAGTCGTATTACACCCCCCTTAACGCCAGTATTTACGACTGTGCCGTCACAACCAATAGCTTCAATTTCTTGTAATGCGATTGAATTTTCTATTAGGAATTGAATAATGGAAGATTTGATATTTTCGGATGTACCGGACAGCGGAGAAACATGTCCCAAATAGTTGCATCCTGGCTCCTGCACAAGTGTTATGTGTTCTTCCATGATCGTTTGACGATAAACCTTTGCACCTTTTCTTACTTGAGCTAAAGTTTTGTCTTTGCGTCCATCAAAGTAAAGCCCACGTAGGTTAATCGTCGAATGTTCTTGTAGTCTCTGAATATTGGAACGACATTTAAGCCTTTCTCTTCTAACTTTATTTTTGTCGATAACGTTAGAAGAGTCCGCTGATGTAATTATTCCTATATCGGTTAAAACGGCGGATGCAAGAGCAGCTGCAGATCTATCAGATATGCCGTGTCTGTCACATGTTTTTGCAAAATTTTTCAACTGAATTCTCATTTGATTTTTGTTGACACCTTTAGAGGTTGAAGGTACAGAAACATCATCTTGAAACGTAACATCATCATTATCATTAATAAAATTATTTGATTCTGAACTTGAAGAAGAATCGCATTCAGGTATTGGATTAATATCATTCTCAATAACTACGGTATCTTTCGTCTTTTGTCGTTGTTCTCTCTGAATATATTTTCTTGTTCTCTCTCTATCAACTGTGCTTATCACCATTTTTCTCGGACCTCTTTGATCTAATAAAAACTCTCGTTCACCGAGAGGCACTTTTTGAGACTTGCTACAAAGGCAATTCAGTAGAGTATTACATTTGCATGCTGCAAGATCGAAAATAGTTTTACTTTTCTCCTGAAAGCATAGAATTTTATTTTGGTAAGACTTACTGTTTTTCCTGCTCTTAAATGGCTTCATAAGCTTGGTGTATTTGTCGTGGTAGGATTTTAAAAGCTGAATTATTCTTGTACGTGAAACTATTGGAATTGTAGCCTTTCTCCATATTTCCTCCAATTTCATGGCAACCTCCTCGGCAATAACGGAAAACGCTGGCTCTTTCTTGGTAAGTTTTTTGTTCAGCCTCTTCCAAGCACAAAATTTCATCACTTGTTCAAACGTCGGTAACACATTTTCAGGAATATTTGATGGTTGTCCAAAAATGGCGCAGTCCACAGCACATCTTGTTTTTATTCCCGACGTTCCTGGCTTATCCATTTTAAAAAATCTTTAGTCTATAAACATCAATAACAGCAAAGTAATGCACCGCACCAAACAAGCGAAAATTACACTCACGGACTGTGTGACACAGATGCTAGACACTTACTGATAAGGGAATCAGGCACTCGGGTAGTCTTGGGCCCCGTTTTAAGGAATTTTAACGATTATTACTCGAATGATTTTAGCCAAGCGTCAATGACATTGAACCGTTGCATCTCGGAGTGTCTCGGACCAATGATATTAGAATATCAGGATCTATACGATACGCGTGGTTGCCGATTTTGTTTCATTGGTAGTACATATTATGAATTTTCGAATAGCAGATATTAGTAGAAATAGACGTTTTGCGGTAATTTTCAATGGGGTTGAGGACACTTAATAAACAAATGAAATTTTAAATATCGTTTAAATGTGTAATTTACAACATTTTAAGTTTTATTTAATTGATATTAGATCGAGTAAGCACATATTTTAATCCAAATATAATAAATTCAAATTTCCATAAAAAGCAGATATTTAATAAAGTTTAAGGTCGTTGGGGGGGCAGAAAATTAATTTAGAAAAAAAAAATAAAAATACTAATATGCTAAAAAATAACACTAGCAACTTTTTCACACTATTAGATACAACATTTCCAACTTTTATTTTTTCGATGCATCCTATTGGTTAAGTCTCTTTTTAAGTATGGACCTTCTGCTGTAGAGAAGGTCATTAGAATGTCAATACTTAAAAAGAGACTTAACCAAGCTTTTAATGTGGAAAATAAACCCAACACTACATCCAGTTATAAATCCTTATCTTATTCACGACCAATTTCAGAAAAAATATCAATCAAGAGTACTTTGTAATAAAATCAGTAAGTTTTATAAAAAGTTAACATCTCTTTTAAAACCAAACACAACATTAAGTCTATTTTTAGCAAAGCTAAGGACAAAATTGTTAAAAAAAAACAAAAGTGATATTTACAAATTGTCTTGTATTGATTGTAATGACTTATGGGGTAGAAAAAGGACAACACTTGCTCAAAGAATCAATCAAAAGAACATCTCAATAACACAGATAAATAAAACATTCATGATAAATTTAATCATTACTTTTCTCCTAACAAAAACAGTAAAATTTTACATAGCATTCCAAAAAAAATTTAGACTTGTCACCCTGTCTGACTCCTCGCCGTATCTTAATAGGTTCCGTTTGTTCAACTATTTTAATGGATGTTGATGCTTGATCATACATATTGGAAATTAAGTCCGTATATCTATAGTCTATTCTCCAATTTTGTAAAGAGTTCTTTACTGCCCAATGTTCTACTGTATCGAATGCTTTTTCAAAGTCTACAAATGTCATATACATTGGGATTTGATATTCGTTGGCCTTTTCAATTAATATTTTTATTGTAAGCAGATGGTCGCTTGTACTGAATCCTTCTCTAAAACCGGCTTGCTCTCTTGACTGGTAATCATCTAACTTAGTTGTTAATCTGTTTGTTATAGTTAATTAACATTTTGTACATTACATTAAGTAGCGTTATGGGCTTATAGTTTTTCAGATCTTTTCTGCCTTTCTTAAATAGTAACGGTGTTATTGCCTCTGTCCATGTGGTGGGTATTTGTTTTGTGTTCAATATTTTATTCATTAGTACATAAAGGACTTCCACTGTAGTTTTTCCCCCATTTTTTAGCATTTCCACAGTTATTCCATCTTTTCCAGGAGATTTGTTATTCTTTATTTCTTTGAGTGCCTTTTTTATGTCATTTTTACTGATTTCTGGTTGTAGTTCAGAGTTAACGTTCTTTATTTTCAGTTGTAACTGATTACGGATTTCTTGGGTTGATTTTTGTTCTGTTTTGATAGTTGTTGTCTTCCACTTGTGCTTCCTTTGTTCTTTATGCTATTAATTTGTATGTTTCGCAGGTTCTGCGTTAAGCACTTCACGTTTCTATTTTTTCAATGTTTTCTCTATATTTTCTTCCTATACTGTCCATTTACACTCCTTGATATTTTTTCTAATAGTTTTGTTTATTTATTTGTATTCCATTTTATTTCTGTCCCCTTGCTCTAGTAATGTTCTTCTTGCGTTCTTAAGAATTTTTGTTTCCTGGGATATGAAACACTCTTTTTTTGTTGTTGCCTGTGCTCTTTCTTTACCCACTTTCATTAAAGTTTCAGTAAATATCATGTTTATTTCATCGATATGTTTGTGTTCTATATCTTCCTTGGTTGGCAATATTTCCTATATTCTCTCTTCGTACGTTTGTTTTTCTTGTTTTAGTTTTTCCATGTCTAATTTCTGAATATTTTCCATTTTCTTTCTTGTTTCAAATCTACTATCAATGATCAGCTTGGATTGGACTAGTCTATGGTCTCTACCAGTCGAGAAGCGATTTAGGGCTGTTACGTCTTTAACCATGGATTTTTGCGTTGAAAGAATATAATCAATTTCGTTTTTAGTTTCACCATTTGGACTAATCCGTGTCCAATTTCTTTGGGTTTTTTTTCTTCACAAAATTGTTTATACACTTCAAAAATACTTCCGTTTTCCCTCATTTGATTTTTTGTAATGTTTAGGATTGCTCTTGAAGTTATTTTCCTCGCCATTTGACTACTGGAACATGATTCTTCTTCTTCTTCTTCTTCTTCTTCCAATGGCGCTACAGCCCAAATTGAGCCTTGGCCTCCTGTAACTTCTGCCTCCAACAAAGGCGATCCCGCGCCACTCGTCTCCAAGCCCTGACGTTCAATAAGTTGTGCGCATCTGCTGTGACTTCGTTCTCCCATCCATTACGTGGTCTTCCCTTTGGTCTTCTGCCCTGCATTTTACCATCCAAGGCCTTTCTCGGCAATCTGTCGGCATCCATCCGTACACAGACCAGCCCATCGAAGCCTTTGTACTCTAGCGAACTCTGCAATAGGTGCTTCTTTGAACAGTTGGTAGAGTTCATGGTTATATCTAGATCTCCACATCCCATTTTGAGTAATGGGTCCAAAGATCTTCCTTAGGATTTTTCTCTCGAAAACCTCTAATCTTCGTTTAGTGCTTTCTGTCAAAACCCATGTCTCGCATCCATAGCATACTATCGGTCTGATGATAGTTTTATAGACCTTAAGTTTCGATTTTCGATGTACCGTCTTGGAGCGGAATATGTTAATCAGGGAAAAATAGGCTTTATTTCCCTTCATTATTCTCTTCTGAATTTCGGCCTCTTCTGTTCCCTCCGTATTCATTTCGACTCCCAGATAAGTAAAACTCTTCACTGTTTCAATGTCATCCTCTACTTTGATTTGATTTCTTGTTCGCTTTGTCCGCGTCTGTGTTAGTATTTTTGTCTTCTGTGTATTTATTTCAAGTCCAATCTCCTTGGCCGTTTTTTTCAGCTGCGAATATGTTTTTGCTGCATCATCCACTCTGCGGGACATGAGGTTAATGTCATCCGCATATGCGGCGAGCTGGACAGATTTGTTTGTTAGGAGATTGGCTCTTCCGACATTCAGGTTTCTGATGACATATTCAAGGGCCAGATTGAACAGTGTTGGAGCTAGTCCATCACCTTGTTTCAGCCCTTGAACTATTTCGATGCTGTCAGTTAATTCGTACTGTATGCGTACAGTTGCTATTGTGGAGTCCATCGTTGCTTTTACTAGTCGGATATATTTCGAGGGAATATTGAAGCTTTCCATGATGTTATATAACCGGCTTCTATTTATGGAGTCATAAGCCTGTTTGAACAGGAATCATGTTCCTGTTCCTCAAACAGGAACATGATTCACTTATTTTAAAAGTGTTACAAAAACCTTGTTAAATCTTTTATATTCGTTTTTCAACTTCCAACAGCATCTAAATACATTTTCTAAAAATATTAATAATTAAATATTGATTTTTTTTTGTAGGTGAATTTCTAAACGAACCAATCCAAAAAGTGATAGTTCTCTTTAAGCCATCTTTCGAAAAGCACAACGAAGTAGTCCAAGCGATCATCGATTGCATCGAAAGTTTTTCCGAACCAGAGACAATCGTCGATCGAATTAATCTAACTAAAGTAAAGGAAAAAAGCGTCGAGAAGTTTTGTAGCGATAATCTGATACTATCGACTCATATCGTCTATGTGAATCCCCCGTACACGGACGACGATTCATCTGGCTTGGACTACATGACCTTCAACTTCATTAAAGAAGAAACAAAGAAGAATTCTAGTGATAGGAAGCTGTTGGTCGTGCGCTTACCGTATTCTAAGAAGGACGTCCCTTCTATCCTATCTAGAGCTGCTCATTTCGATCTAGTCCATGACTTTCCAGCTTTTATAAACAGCTTTTCTAGTATCGATGTACAAGCTGATTATTCTAAACTTCCAACGTATATGGAACTGTCTAAGAAAATAGAGGTAGCTAACATAGAGGCTGATAATATAAACGTCGTGCCTGAAATTGTTGTGACTGAAGACATTGACGAGCCTAAGGAACTTGATGGACTTATACAAACATAGTTTCCTACATACACTTCTTAAAGTAAAGAAAGATTACTACTTTCTGAGCAGCGAATGATTTTTTAGAGTTGCCACATGTATACAAATATTCTTGAGAGGTAAGTATTTTGAAAAGTTTTGTGGATTTACAGTCGATCTTTTTAATTTCACCCCCAGGAAGGGTTCAAGATATTTGACGAGTGTAAGGGGTGACAGTTGTTTACAGTTTCGGACATTAGCCAAATTTGCATCTACTACTATAGTTACTCTGGGTCTTGTACCTGATATCAATCTTGGTAAATTTTGTATCAGCGTAGACAGGTATTTAAAAAAAAAACAGTGTTTGGTTTAGCTTTAGTTATCTTGACCATAAAAACTTCGTTCAAAATTACTTTTTTATGGTCTGTGTTTGTTGTAAAATGTTTGCCAAACTCTGCTTGTAGAACTTTTAGATCATAGAAACTGTCAAAGTGTTGTTTATGAACTTTGTAAGGGTTTCCTTTCTTTTTATCTCTAATTGTGCACGAGTATACAGAGATGGAATTAACTGCATCATCATTGTGGATTACAATATTTTCTTGAACACAATGGGTGTTGGCAAATGGTTCCTCCCGTGCCATATCAGAATTATCCGACGTTGTGCGGTCTATTATAGGAATTGATACATAAGACTATCTGTAGTTCATCTATATGAACCACAGTAAGTAAACTCTCTTTTAGTATATTGTTTTGAATTGCCTATTCTTGAAAAAAAAAACATTTGAATGAACCCATTTGAAAAAAAAAAATTAAAAAGAATTGACTGTAAAACGACCATAAAGCTACTAATTTTAAATTGTTTCTAATGTGTTCTTTTGACTCGAATATTTTTGTATGTTTAGTTTAGTAAAAGGTTCCTGTATTAAAAGTTAAGTTAGTTTAAAGACGTCGAACTTCGGGAATTTTCGTTTTAAATGTGTCTTTTCGGAACTTTTACAGATATTGACCCATCGAGTCAATCGAAGTGGCATAATTAGCAAACTGCTAGCCTAAACAGTGGTGCCACAACATAAAAAATTAGAAACTTTATGTGTATTTATGAATGTAGTTATGTGCATAGAACGTGTTCTTTATTCTCAGTAGCGAAGTGTCACGATTGATGTTCCTTCTTATTTGTGTACATTTTTTCGTTTGTTCCGATTACGAGTAATTCGTTTTTCCGGGTATAACATTTAAGTCATCTCCTATGGTCACATGAACTGTTTTTATTGTCATTTTCATTGTATCTCTTCACCATTTTATTTTGGGTATCAACGCTGATGTATAAAAAAACTGCATACTCATCTTTTGACAACGAGAATAGATGTTTGAGAAGATTTTATAGTCTAATACGTATGATCCAGTGGACAGTCTTCGAAAGCCCTACACCCCAAAGCCCTAGAACCCAAAAAAATATTTGATTAAATGAAATATCTCTAATACACAACGAGAGAGAACGCAAGGAAATGATTGTTGCTATTGATTGAGACATCTTGTATGCCTTGGTTTACGGTATATTCTTTATTCAAACTTTCCCTGTTGTAACAGAGAAATTTAGATTACTCGGACCAACATCCTAGATAACATAAAGAGATTGTACTGCCCGAATACGTAACCAGCGTTGAGACAATGGATATAGAACATAAATAACTGTACAATAGATATAATAAAAGCCACATTGGTACGAGAAAACACATACTAGCAAAAATAGCACGAGATAAATTACCAATCGGCCGAAGAAATACAGGAAGGCCAAGTGAAGGAATGATGGAAAGAATGCAAGTTTATCAAGGAGGTCAGAGATACACTTTCAGAGACATATGAGACATCTAGTCCGTCTTCAGTTATTGCAGATGGCACAGGTACTGCATTATAACCTAACCCAACTTAACGTATATTGGATTTATAGCGGTCCTTTTCCATATGTCAGGCGTATGTTCTTCTCGGCACATATTCGTAATCAAGTTCTTCACTACCATTAACCCTAGAAAGGTGGACTACTATTTACTGACAGTTATGGTGGATTATCGTAATTTTTACATCTAACAAAAAATTGAAAAAAAAATACAAATGTAATATAAACACTTTTATTACAAAAAATTAGAAAAAATGTAAGTCTTAGTAAGTGGTACACATATAAATAAAGTCGATGTACACTACTCGTTTGCACACATTGTACATATATTACCTCGGTGTTCGCCACATATAGCGTGATGGCATTGGTTGCAATATGTGGTAGTAATGCTCCTCTTTTTACTCGGACAATGGAAACATGCCTTGCGTTTCTTTTTTTCAGATAACGGACGTTCAACTTGAGGACATCTTTAATATTTTGCGTAAGATTTCGACGTAAAGTTGGAATACACAATCGTTCTCTCAGCCAGGGTTCGGCGACATGACGAGCCAATTCAACCATATATTCGTGTCTGAATAAACTTTTCTGTTTGCTTTTAATGCGTTTGTGGTGTAAATAACATACGAGTTAATACTTGCAATATTTATCATATTATAGAAGATACACAAAGGCCATCTCCTCGTTTTACGACCCGCATTCATATTCGAACACATTTGATCAAATGTATCCACTCCGCCTTTTGTTCCATTATAATCAGTTATTATAGTGGGTTTGCCATTTATTTTGGAAACATCAGCACCTTCGTGAAGTGTTGAAAGAAGTAAAACTACCTTATTTTTCTTTGGCATATATGATACCAATGTCTTTCTTTTATCAAAACAAAACATAGATGTATTGGGGACTCTGTTCTTTACATTGAACAATTCCTGTGGAATTTCTCTTTTATTTTTGCGAAGAGTTCCGATAATTGTCAGTTTGTACTGATCTTTTAATAACTCCTCTGCTAAGCTAACTGATGTAAACCAGTCCATGGTAATATTTCTGTTACTACCATGAACTGATTTTGTAAGTTCCTTTACAAAATATGTACCCAACGGCAAACCGTTTGTATTGGTTTTCTTGCCTAAATAAGGAATAGCATCGATCATATATTTCGAAGAGCTGTCACACATCATTACGATTTTGAGACCATACGAATTAGGTTTATCAGGTAAATACATTCGAAAACGGCAACGTCCTCGAAATCCTACTAACTGTTCATCAATAGTTAGATAGGATGAAGGTGTATATGATCCTCTGCAGGTAGTAATAAAAATGTCCCATATTTCGCGTATATGCGCAAAAGGATCATATTGCTGCCTTTCTTTTCGTGTTTCCTTTTCATCAAACCTAAAACAGTTTATGAGATATTTGAAACGCTGACCACTCACGCAAGCCTGATAAAATTTTCCTGATATATTACTGTCAAACATATATTTCACAGATAGATGACTGTCTTTATTTGCTGCAGACATTATCAAAATTGACAATAAAGCTCGTAGCTCATTTTTACTCATATCAGAAATATTAGGACGACTGGCATATTTTTTAGATTGTCTTGTAATTTCAGTATTTGAGTGTAACAGAGTACGATATAATATATCCTGTGAAAAAAAATGTAAGAAATATTCTTCAACTTTTGTGTAGTTTTTGGCATTCTTTCAGGGATAGTTCCTTTGGGACCAGGTATAAAATGAATAATATTTCTAGCTGCCGTTCTTTTTGACAATGAAGGTATTTTGTTTGACCACTTATGCCCGTTTTTACCTTTTAGAGCCTTTCCCGGATTTACAATAAACTGAGAAACACTGTAGTTCTCACCTGATGTTCCAGGTACTTCTTCTGTAGATTTTTCGTTTTCCACCACTATTGCTTTTATATCTGCATCCATTAAATTTACAGATGAACTGAATACACTGGATGGCTGGAAAATTTTGGAATTACCACTATTTTTAGAGTCATCTTCTTCATCTGAATCGTCCGATTCAAACTCCAAAGCACTTCTTCTAACTCCCAGTCACTTCCACTATCTTCAAAAGGTTCCTGCTCACTATCTTCACCATTCATTATACGCTGTATTTCATCGTTTATTTCACTTGCCGTTAAAGGTTTTCGTGATGACATAGTGCTACAATTAAATAAAATAATATTTACTACAAATATAAAAAAGAATTAGATAATGACTTACCAAAAACGTCACCGGCGTCCAAATAAACTTGAGAGAAAAAAACTAACGTAGAAGGTGGACTTTCGTAAAATTGACGACGTGCCCTCAAAAAATCTAATACACAAATACAGTAGTGGAGAAACACACTCACCGCCTGTTAAATCAAGACTAAAGAAACAGCTACTGAGAAGCGTATGGGCAGAGGTTACGCGACTGCACCCGAACTGCGACGAAAACCGAGGAGCGTCGTCAAATTTACGATAGTCCACCTTTCTAGGGTTAACATTGACTTCCCATACAGTTCCATAACTTTTGATTGGTCTCCCAAGTATCTTTCAACTGTTTTAATATTTTTACCTCATGGATTTGTTGTAGTTAGGAAAAATTTCAAATAAGAAGTCATCTGACTAACCTACTATTAGAACCAGTCCCGTTTTAGTAGTAGGACGCTCTCTTAATGGAATCTGTAGAACTTACTTACTCTGTTCTTTCTTCTCAATTTCTTATATTCGAACTGTTGAGATCATATAACTAAATATAGTCTTCGTCTTCTAGCCTACGTATGATTTTTTAAATAAATGTGTCAACAAAGTTCCTAGAAAGATACATGTAATCTAACTATTTCGCCATATTCTCGAAGTTCACCTATTTTACATTTTGATACTATGTGTGAAGGGACAGTTTTATACTTGTACAGGTGGGAACAATATAGGCTTATTTTTAAGACTGACCGTATTTCATAAGTTTTGTTGAATATCTTTGTAATATCATTGTTATGTAAGTGCTTGATAACTATTACTGTATTGAATGTTTAAGGTTTTAGAATTGTAGTTGATAGTATTATGTACTTTTTTAATTTTTACCATAAAGAAATCTATACACATGTTTTGTTTGTTTTATTTTTATTGAGAAGACTGAAAATAAAAGCAGATAGCCCAAGGGAAAAATATACCTAGACGTTAAGTTCAAGAGAAATTGAAAAAAGAGAATAATTGTAGTTTTTTCTGAAAATTCGTGACATTCCACATTTAAAGCAACCCTCAATGGACTTACTAGGTAAAAGTATTATCGGAATGGTTTAAAGACATCCACTCTCACAGTAAGAGACAACACAGCAAGTCCAACAAATAGCATTCGAAAGAGTGATAAGAAAAATAATCAAATAAAAGTTATCAAAAGAAAATAAGGCGAGATATTGGATATGAATATATGGCAGCCATAGTTTAGTGGCTCGATACTGGCTTACCAAACCGAACAGCCTTGGTCTAGGGACGCGTGTTGGAAAATAATCGACTTAAATGAAATATTACAAACAAGTCGTTGACAAAATAAATGTTTTTGTTAGTATTTTATTTATTTTAACAATAATGCCTGGTTACAATATAAACTTCTCATTGACACACTTGTCATGCCCAGATAGTGCCAACCTTAACACTTAAAATATCGAATATAGAGTGGTAATACGTGAATCGCATCAATTTATATTGTTACAGGGGCAAATTTTATGAAACTATCTTACTGCTCACTTATTTACATTGGCGAAGCATACACAATAAAAATGACCCCTTAAGAATTTACTTTTGACATTTAACATTGTTGCCGTTATCTCGGAGTTCAATTTGTAGATGAGTCACCTTTCATTAAAAACTGTCCGACTATAGTAACAATTTTGCTCTGAGAAACCAGTTGGAGAAATTA